AAATGATGCAAGTTCCTTCTGGAATGCAGCTCATGCAGATTCCAACTCAAGGTGGCGGCACTGTTACTGTCCCTTATTCTATGAATGCTAACGGTGAGATTGCGTTCAGTGGAATGCAACTCAGCCATCAAGGCTTCTGTGGTGCTCAACTGCGCCAAGGATTCGATGCAACTCAAGCTCGAACTCCGCAAGTTGTGAAGACTGGCTATTTTAATACCTCAAATGTCTTCCACAATGCTATCAAGGGAAAGGATGAGAATGGCAATGATGTCTATCTTATTCCATGTCCTGCTGGAACGACTAATGTCAAACTTCAATCCGACTGGCACTACGCTAGTAAAAATGAAGACTTGCCAGATCTTGCTACTGAAGCAGATCGAGGTATGCAGTTTATTCAAAGCCGCAGAATCAAAAGAGCTCCGTTTGGTTTGCTCCATCACGTCATCATGGACAGTGGTTGCACCAACACCACCATTTGCAATGGTGAACTCATGCATGGACTACGTCAAGCTGAGAAAGAGCTCGATATGCACACTAACGTGGGCAGCAGAGTTCTCAATGAAGAAGGGTTTCTAGGAAGATTTCCGCCTCCAGTCTATTAAGATGAAGACGGAATTGCCAATGTACTTGCTATGCGCGAGATGATTGCTACAGGATACCGCATTACCATGGATACTGATTTTGACAATGCCTTTGTTGTGCATTGCGATGGAGACAGACAGATGCGATTTGTGAATCGTAAGGGTGTATATGTGCTGGAGCAACTTGGAGCGAATGTCGAACCAGGTGCCAAAGAGACAAGTGCGATGTATCGCCAGTTAAGCAACGTAAATAAACAACCCCAGTTCGAACTTTCTTCAAAACAGAATGGATATGCTGGACTCGGGATGACTGCAAAGATGGCAACGGTTCGAAAGAACAAGGAAGGATTCACTCCAAGACAAGTCAAGGCTGCGATGGAAGGGAGAAGTGCGATGCACATACTCAATGCTCCAAGCACCAAAAGTCTGAAGTATGCGATCCGATCTGGTCTCATCAAGAACTGTCCTATCACTGAAGAAGCAATCAATCATGCTGAAGCAATCTTTGGACCTGACGCCTCTACATTGAAAGGCAAGTCAACAAGACCAACTCCAAAGAAGACGTATGTCGACTTCTTCAGTCCACCAGAGGAACTGTATCAACATGATCGATCTATTACCGTCTGTATTGATCACATGGAGATCAAGAATGCTAAGTTTCTCACCTGCATTGATACCACTGTGCGTTATCGCTCATGTATTCCCGTGCAGAACCTGAAGAC